TACACTGAAGTCAAGAACTGACTGAACTATCTAGAGAATGATTATGAGAGATTCTGATGATCTGTTCTCAAGATCTATCTAGAGAATAAGTTGAGAGACTTCATGAGCTGAACAGAGAACACCTGAACTGTGATCATTAATATTAGAAAAAGAGGTAAGAAATCTGATGAAGACTACTCACAGCACTTCATGAAATTGTGATGTGAATTAGAATCTATGAAAACAGAGCTCTGAAACAAGACCTGAATGATGATATTTATAAAGAGACTGAATAAAGATATGCAGAACAAGCTCATTGAGTAAGACTCTAAACTCTTGACTCTGAAGAAACTGATGACTCTTATTCATTACTTACAAATCACTGTGAGAGTCACAGACCTGTGAAGAGCAGATCATCAACTGGCCTTGCAAGAGTCAGAACAACAGAGAACAGGTTTGTCAGAAAAAGATGATAAGACACAGAGAGATTTATGTCTGACTGCTGAGTAGAGAGAGAGAGCTTCATAAGCTCTTATAAACAGAGTGTATAACAGAGAGATTAAGAAAAAGAGACTCTGCTTTATCTGTTCTAAATCAGAACATCTCTGTGTAAACTGTCTGAACAAATTAAAATAGAAATTTGAAGAGTTGCAGACAGAGTCAGCAACAGTCTTTTTAAGAGCTCTGAAGCTGATATCTGAATCTATTACTTCTCTGATGAAAATGCTTGCTCATAGAAAGAGATCATGTCATGATGCTGCTGCTCTGCAAGCATGAAAAGCATTGATAAACTTGGGATTTCAGGTCACTGTAGTGTCTCTAAAGCTTACAGAGTGAATGAGCTGAAAGATGAAAACTGAGAATCTGCTCTTATAATAAGCAGAGTGTGAGAACTCAGATCTGAGAACTGAGAGACTTGTAAGAGTTATCTTTGAATTACAAGATCTCTCTGAAATCTGAAGAAGATTTGCAGAAACTGTGATTATCATAAACATTGTAGATAACATGTACTTGAGACTTGTATGACTTCAAAGACACAATTCACACATAGCTGTCTGTGAGTCAGGTTTATACTTCTGATCAGTGTTAACAGACTTACTTATGAAGATAGAATCAGTTGATACTGCAGAGTTGATCAGAGAAGACAAGCTCATCTATATAATGACTTTGTAAGTATCTGAGAATCTTGTGATCATGGAAACTGAGCTTCAGATATCAGAGAAATACTGAGATCTTGCAGAGATATTCAGCTCAGTAAAGACAGCTGAGCTTCTCTCTCACTGTAAGAAGAATCTGATAATAGATTTGATAGAAGAGTAGAAACTCTTCTGAGAATCAATCTATAAACTCTCTTATCACAAGACAGAGATCTTATGAATCTATGTAAAGAAGAATCTGAAGAATGACTTTATCTGATCTTTACAGGCCTTCATGAGAGCCTCTGTGATGTTTATAAAGAAGAAGAATGAAGATCTCAGATTATGTGTAGACTATTATAATCTGAACTTCAAGATAATAAAGAGCTGCTATTCTCTGTCTCTGATTAAGAATATAATCAACTGTCTCACAGAAGCTGTCATATTCATACAACTGAATATAATCAATGCATATACACAGCTGTGAATATAATCTGAGAATGAATAAAAGACTGTCTTTAGAACTGCACTGAAATTATTTGAATATCTAGTAATATCTTTTAATCTGACTAATGTCTCTGCAGTATTTCAGTCTTTCATTAATAAAATACTTCATACATATCTGAATGTCTTCATGATAATATATCTGAATGATGTGATAATGTATTTCACAAAGAAGGAAGAATACACTGAGTATGTGCAAAGTGTGTTGAAGGCCTTAGATAAGATAAAACTGTATATTAAGCTTATGAAGTGCAACTTCAGTGCTTACTGAATTAATTTCCTAGAATATATAATCACTGTGAATGATATTCAGATGAAATCTTCACAGATTGAGACTATTCTATCATGACTGAAGTCAACTAGTATTCACAAGATTCAGATCTTTCTGAGCTTTGTGAATTTCTATAGACAGTTTATCTTTGCATTTATGAGAATCTTCTTGATTCTTATAGACATGCTGAAGAATGAAAATAACAAGAAGTCATTCTGTGAATAGAGAATGAAAAGATTGTTAAGAAGAGAGAACTGTAAGAACTTTCTTATCTCAAAAGCTTGTGAGACCTTTGCAAGGTTGAAACAGATATTCACAGATACAGTGATACTGTTTCACTTTGATTTCTTACACTTAATCAGATTGAAGATAGATGCCTTCTTCTTTACAATTTCAGAAATAGTCTTACAACTACAGTTAAATGAGAACTGAGTTTCAGTGATCTTTTTCTTACAGAAGATGCAACTCACAGAGATCAACTATAACATTTATAATCAGAAGCTTCTCACAATAGTGAAATTCTTCTGTCACTGATATCACTACTTTAAGAATCTTGTGACAGTGATTACTGTTAGAACTGATTATAACAGCTTATAACAGTTTGCTTTAATTAAGAAACTCTCACAGTGACAGATTCACTGAGCTCAGAGACTGAGTGAGTTCTGATTCAAGATAGAACATATCAAGAGAACTAAGAACTCAGTGAACAGACTCTCTTACAGATCAGACTATATTAAGAAGATCAGAGTGATAGACACAGAGAGACTAGAGAAGATAGAAAAGCTTCATGAAATACTCAGACTGAGTGTTGCAAAGAGATTGACTGAAGAGTCTCTCAATTCTCTGTGAGAGAAGAGAAGAGAGAAAGGAAAGAAGTCTGTACAACTACTCTCTATAACACTGAGAGTCAATACTCTGAAAATCTTCACAAGAATTCTTGAAGAGAATATCTATAATCTGAAGAATTTACAGGCTTTGAGAAGTACTGTGAAAGACCTGATGTAAGAAGAAACAGAGTATAAGTCTTTATAAGATCTTCTATTCAGATTGTCTAAACTGTAACTGAAGAATGAATATGCTCAGCATATTCAGAAACTGCTTATAACAGAGATCAACTCTGTAGAAATAAAGAATTACAGAGACTTAAATAGTCTCTTGCAAAGAGAGAGCTGGATTTATATGCCTGTAAATGAGTTTCTACATGTAGAACTTATTAAAAGGTATTATAACTCTTCTCTAGTGAGTCATTTTATAGATACTAGAACTCATGAGTTGCTTATAAGAAAATACTTCTGACTGAAGATACAAGAACTTATAAAGAAGATAGTGAATTCTTATACTATTTATCAGAATTCATGAGTAGTACAGTTCAGATCATATAAAGAACTTACTTCTCTACTCATCTTACAGAAACCTTGAGAACAGCTAGAAATGAATGTTCTTGTAAGTCTCTCTGAAAGTAAGAACATATATGATGCCTGCTTTGACAGTGTGCTGATAATAGTGAATTACTTTATCAAGATGACACACTTTATACTCACCTGTAAGAACTTGAAGTTAAAGAATTTAACTCATATCTTCATCTGTAATGTGATTCAGTTGCATGAATTGTCTGTGAACATTGTCTCAGACAGAGAATCAATCTTTATAGAAGAGTTCTAATTTAACTTGATAACTATACTGAAGATCTTGTAAGATCTAAGTACAGCTTTTCATCAACAGATAGATAATCAGATAGAATATCTAATAAGTATATTAAAACAGTATCTGCAGTGCTTTATCAATTATAATCAGAATAACTAAGTGTATTAATTGTCACTCACAGAGTTTATATACAATAACTCAAAGCATGTCAGCACAGATAAAATCCTCTTTGAGATGCTCACTGAGACTCATCTGTGAATAATCTTGATAGACTCATAAGAGTACACTATAGAGTGTGATGATGTCTGTGAACAGGCTGAGAGAATTCAGAAGATCTGAGAGAAAGTCTGTGAATTCTTGAGAAAGGCTCAAGAGTATTAGAAGAGATACTATGACTTCAAGCACATTGTAAAGAGTTTTAAGAAAGATGATAGAGTCTGACTAAGTCTAGAAAACATTATTATATAAAGATCTAGCAAGAAGCTGAATCTCTTGCAGACAGAGTCTTGTAAGATTATGAAGAAAGTGAACTCACAGTTCTACAGATTGAAACTATTATCTGAGTTATAGATATATAATATTTTTCATGTCTCTTTACTTCATGAATATAAGAAATTCTCAGAAGAGAATTCTGTGACTCATCACTCTGTCTATAAAGTACTAGAGAGTGAAAGAGAATATCAGATTAAAGAAATTATTGACTTAAAGAAGTGAGATCACAAGCTCTAGTTCAAGGTTCAGTGATAAGAGTATTCTAATAAGATGAATGAGTTTACTTGAGAATCATCTAAGCAGATAAGATATCTGCAGAAGCTGAGACATGACTTTCATACTGTAAATTCTGATAAGTCAGAATAATGTAATCTTTACTAAGAACCTGGTTATAATAAAGATATTAATACTGTTATTTGTAAATCCTAGTCTATAAGATGATGAATTTCTACTGAGATAAACAGTCTGCAGTATACATAAGAAAAGAAGAAATCATATTCTCATTAAGCTAAAAAACAAGAAAATAAACAGGGCTGTAAACACAATTTGAAGATTAATAAAGAAAAAATAAAGAAAATTCAAACTTACATTCTCAATACTTATAATACTCAATTCTCTCACAACTATTAATTTTTCTCTTTAAAGAAGCAGAGAGTATTATATCTGTGATACAGACAATTGTTGCATTTGATATAAAGACTGTCAGAAATGCACAGACTTCAGAGAAGTTAGATATCAGAGTGTATGCAGTTGCAGCAGAATCTTGAAGACTGATCATCTGTGTGTATAATCAGATACTTCTTATGAAGCTATGTCTACTCTCTCAGTTATGTTAAAGTATTCAGCCTGAAAATAATTGAGACACAGAGAGAGGGCTTATCTGTTCAGGTCAACTTCTATCATGAATTCATAGCATTTACATTGCCTTAATTACCCAGATTTTGCAGGTACTCAGGGACTTATCTCTCATTGACAATGAGATTGCAGAAATGCACTGTGATGTGAGGATCATTGATAGAGAACCTAGACATATTTGCATATATCTGGTCAGAGATTATGTGAGCAGAGAAGGGGTGATTATAGGCCTGCAGGGCCACAGAAGACACTGACAACACTGAGAGCTTTATAAGAACTGTCAGCTAGAATCTGTAAGGAATTACTTGTAAGAAGACTTACAGTATAGAGAGAGACTGCACTGCTTGAAGCCAGAAGCTGGCCTGAGGGAGACAGAGAGTTAGCTGTCAGCCTGAAGATCAGATGCAGTGGCAGGGCTGAGAGAAGTAGAGACATGATCATGAATGATGATACTTTCACTTCATCAGCTGATAAAAAGTGATCAGAGAAGTTGTGAGAACACTTATAAGAAGCTCAGCAGTGATCAGACATTGTTTATGAAGATATTGAAATTGAAAAAATTTTTATTCTTGAGAAATTCTTGAATTAATATGTAGATATTGTCAGAAATACTCTCTCTCTATTATCTGAGTGAAAACACTTCATGAATGAATGAAGATACTCACAGTTTATGAGAATGAGAGCTGTTACAGAAAAAGAGAAAAGAAGATAAGATTTTACAGACAGATCTGAAATATTTATACTACTCTAGAGAGATTTACTTGCACTGTGAGTAATTCTGTGAAACAGCTAGATCACTCTAGTAAACAAGAGTGATTGTGAATTACAGGTCTGAATCTTTCTATATAACTATAAAGAGTGATTGTAGACTGTGAACATCTTAATTCTATAATTGTACAGAGTTGATGAAAGAATAGAAAATTCCTCACAATTCTACAGTGTCAAAGAGCAATGATTTACAAGAATAAGTGAAAGATCAACTCATAAATGTTTCTCTTTAATAAGAGTAATCTTATAAAGAGTGATTTATCTGTGAGATGAATCTGTGTGATGATCATACAAGAATCTCATGAAAATGATTGAGAGTCAATCAGAACTCTCTTATATGAAAGATGTGAGATGAATCTGTATAATAGTCAGAGAAGAATCTGTAGGTCACAAAGAATCTCACAGAATAAGAAACTGAGTGACAGACTCTTTTTTCTTTGTAATGATAAGAGATTTTTCCTCACTGAGGTTTTTTTATAGATATAAAGAGTTTTTAGTAAGTATCACTGCAGTGCTGAGCTGACTCTATGAAGTCACTCAGTGAAAGACTTCATGAACAAAGTCTTAGAGAGAGAAGAATATGTAAGAAATCTCACTTCTTACAGATTCTTTACCTCTATTTCTATCTCTCACATAATTAATAGAGCTAGCGGTCCTTGGCTACACATAACTATATAGACTGGAGTTCATAAATACTATTCATAACTCAGCTTGAATACTATTATACATTTGATCTCTACATTTTATCTTTCTATCACAAATACTTCTAGTAGTTAACAGTACATATCACGCCAAGCTGCAAACACCTGAATAATCGCCTGCGAGCACTTATTCTTACACTTATCTAACAGATCATTGAGTGTCTTTCAAAGAAGAAGAAGTTCATCTCAAGACATATTATAAAGAGAGTCTCACAGTGACTCAGAGTTCTTATCATTCTTCTTTTCTAACTTGATACTATGATTCACTTCTGAGTCTTGTAAAGAAGATATATTCATAATATTCTCTTATCAGAAGACATCTAGATATTCATGATATTATTAAGAGAGTTTTGTGTGAGAATCTATTATTGTAGTACAGAATAACTTTTCTATTACTTTCTTAATCTCAGTCAGACTGATGAAATAGATTGATACATGATTCTGCTGTCAGTGACTTTGTCAGCAGTTTTAATGACTTCTTTTTCAGAGTATTTTGTAAGCATTGACAGAGATCTGTGTCTGGTTCATAGTCTTATAAATCTCATCTTCATGAATTTTATCATTATTAGAGAATATTAAACTTCTGTTTCAAGTATTTAATAAGATATCTTATTCAGATAGTCAGGCAAGTTCTAACATCAGATTATAATCAAGATTATCAACTTCATATGCATAGATATCTTCACACTGATGGTCTTCAACATCTATATTTAGTTTCACTATATAATGAATGCAAACATCTTTTGAATCATTAAATTCTGCAAGAAGTCAGGATTTTAATAAGAGAATACACTGAAGATTATAACATCTTATAACTGAAGATTTTATCATTGCATAGTGACATAGATCACTGTCTATCATGGCGTTCATATTATACATGTTATCAATCACAGTAGATACAAGAATTGTATTCATTGTTATTTTCTCTTTAAATCATTGTCATCTGATCTCTTTAAGCTTCTGTTTGTGAATTTGAATAGAAGCTAATCTTTTCCCTGTTTCATCAGAGCATTCTCATAGTTATCTTCTGAATCTTTCTCTAATGTAACATGATTGACACAGATAGACACTGATTCATTCTTCAAACAAGAAGACACTAATCTTTCTCTCAAGTATGAAGGCATATAGATTGATCAGCAGTTGAAAGCAATGTGCTCTGATCAGTTACACTTGAAGCACACTTCACATTGACATTGATCAGTGACTTCTTCAGAAGTGATTTCAGGAACTTGAAAGCCTGTTTAAACAGTGAAAACGCTTGCTTATATATAGGCATTTGAATGTATTCAGTTTATGATATCTGCATCATTGCTGTTATTCTTCAGCGCGGGTGTATGAGTGACTGAGATGTATCATCTTCTGCCACTGTTCTGTATACTCTTGAGCTTGATAAGACAGTCATTCAATATTCAGAGCTGTGTGCAGAAACCTTCATAAGTTGAGTCTTCATTTACACTTATAAGAGTCTGTAAGAGTTCAAAGATTAATATCTTCTTGAGCATGCTAATCTTCATTCAATTCTTTCAAGATTGATCATCTGCTTCTAAGATCTTGATATTGAAGTCAGGAATGAATATTGTAAGAGAAATGTTCCTCTGTCAAAAACTCTGTAATCAATCTAATACTTTCTGTTACATGGCAGTGGCTCAGAACAGAATATCAAGATATTTAATAATATTATCAGATGTTCACAACACTGATTTGCATGCTTTCATTCATAGATAGAACTTCTGTTTTGTATAATTCTTCAATCTTTCATTGATATATCAATCTTGATTGATTAACAAACTGATGACATCTTCATCTACACTCAGTTTCACAAGCATTTCCATCCTTCATGATGAGTAGAGAGTGAGATTGAAAGTATTAAAATATGTAGAAGCATCTAAGCATTCTTTCAGTGATTTTATATTTGATTCTGTAGATGTTGAAATTGCATGAGTTAATTATTAAATCTCTTCATATTGAAGTTGTTGAGTTGCATGCATGTCTGATATCTGTTGCTGTTGTAATTTCAACATTGCTCAGAGTCACTGTGATATCACCTCTATGCTCACATTCGAGAGTTTCATATTATTGTTAGACATGATTATATCATTTTATCAGATGTATGATATCTGTGAAATCTGAAGAAGTGTAATCATATTCTCATACATCTAAGTGTCAGAACTCTCAGGTCTTTCACTGACATTCTCTTAAAAGATCTTACTCTCTTCATAAGATCTTGTTACAGAGTTAGAGTGACTGATGAGCAAGCTTCTATTTGAGAACTCAGTGTCTGCTTAACTGTTTCTCTATTTCTTACACATTATTACACATTCAGATATCTCTCAATGAATAATCATTTCTAATGAGGAGATGATGTGTGAATAATCATTTCTAATAAGAAGATAATGAACATTTATCTAGTGTAAGAGGCCTACACTGAATAGATCAGTATAATATTATAGGTCTTATATAACAAAGAGAAAAATGTTAGAGAAGGAAAGAAAGAGAAAGTGCAAGAATCAGTGATCAAGGTGGATATTTATACACATATGTGATGGTGTATGCAGTGGAGCTTCGGAGTGGAAGAATATACGCGTGTTCATAGCAGCCGAGGATCAGCCATCAGAATATACACATTCATAGCAGCTGAGGATCAGCGATCGGGAATGGCCGAGAATCAGAGTGTACATGTTCAAGAGTGGAATGGAAGAATCTATGAAGTGTAACAGAATAGTCTATATAATTAATCGGGCGCAGCCCGTCACAGGAAAATCTTATTCATCAGTTCTTCTTTCTTTCTCATGCTTGAAAGAGAATTCTGAACTGTGTATCACAATGTCTCAATTATTAACTAGTCAAACCACTGAATCACTTATCAGAGGATACATTACACCTCATCTCACTCTCAAAACAGCTGTTTAAAGTTCTTTTGATTGATTTTATTACAGAATTATCTGTGAGTGATAATCACAACACTATATTAACAGTTACAGACAAATTTTCAAAAGCAGTAATTCTAATTATAGAATAGAAATGATAAAATACTTCATAATAAGTGAAAGACTTCTATAAGAAGATAATCTATCACTGATAACTCTCTCTGATGATTATTTCAGATAGAGACTTTAAATTTACATCACAGTTTTAACAGTCAGTTCTTCAACTCATGGAAATTAAGATATGAATGACAACTGTCTACAATTCTTGCTTAAATAATCAAAGCAAGTGAATCAATCTTATAATTGAACTTACATTGTAAACACTTCTTATAGATGAATATAAAGCAAGTTGAACTGCTCTACTTGAATAAGTGAAAAGAGTGTTAAACTCAGTAGCTGTATAGTCAGCAATGATCTCTCTCTTCAAACTGCTTATAAGTGTAAAGTCTAGATAGCTGTCATTGAACAATGAGAAAGCTTCACTAGATGTAGCTGAGTTTATCATTATATAACATGTAATATAATAAGATATTCTTGACTCATACATTCTGATAAAAGCTGGAATGATCGAGTTCTTCAACTGATCTCATTCTTAATCAACTATTCAGATTGATAATTGAGTCTTCTTAAATCTCACTCAAAAAGCTCAAAAGAGCTATATATTAAAAGAGATGTTCAAGCTATCACTCTTACAGATAGACTCATTTCACATTCTTCAGAAGATATCAGATGCTGTATTTTAATTGAAACTATCAGCTGATTGATGAATGCACTCAGTAATCTTCATCATTTATCTGAAAAAGACTGTATTAACAGAAGCAGATATGAAGCACTTATTATCAGAATCAGTACTTGTTAATGATCAGTTGCAATTGAAAGTTGAAAATA